CAACACCAGTTTAGTTTAGTTTCTTTATTATCAAAACTTTAAGCCGTTAGCTTGTTCGTCTTCTCTCAGGAGCATTTTAAATAATTTAGAAAAATTGTGAGCAGAATTAAAAACGAATTTCTAGGATATTTCCATGGGAATTTTGAGAGCATACTAAGTAAATGATGAGGTGAACTTCGGAATTCTTCGGAAAATACCTAGAATTATTAAAAAATTGAAGAGAATTGCAGAGTGAATTCAAAACGTGTTCTGCAGTAGAATTTCAAGAGTATTGTGGAGCAAATTAATAACAGAAAGAGTACTAAGATGATCCTGAGATGGTTCTAAAAATATCTTCAGAAAATGCTGATGGAATTACGTAAAGAGTTCCAAGAGTATCATTATGATACACACATAGAATCATTTTCGAGACCATGAACACAGAAAATAAATCAAGATTCAATATTTAAAATATTCTGTAGCATTGATTGTTTTTAGTTTTCATACAAGATTCGGGAAGTCGTAGGGGAAATGGATGTAATGTCGGCCTAAATGCCCCTAATTTGGGCCCATACATAAATTCAGCAATCGACTAAATTTTCAAAAGCGACCAAAAATATCGATTAGTTCCAATGACGCGTTTATCTAGATAAAATTGATAAATTGCAGACTTTTTGCGATGGGTCCAATCTTAGATCCATAGGCCAACATTAGAGTCATTTTCCTTGTATTAAATTAAATATTCAGGAAATAGAGAAATTGAACTCGAAATTAAGTCAAGATCCAAACCTAATAACAATATTCGAAATGCTAAACTTCGATAATTCAAACCTCGAAGTGTTTTTAAGATTGCGAACTTGAAATAAATCAAATGACCGAGACTTCTTTTTTTTTTAATACTGACACTTATGTAAATTATCAAGATCTCTAACATAGAATTAGATTTCAAACTTTTGTATTTTTTTGAGTACTTATACTTAGTAAAATTAAGTAAATATTTAACTTCAATTTAATGGAGTTGGTTGGAAATGCTATCTAATATGAAGCTTTAGTGTAATAATTTATTAGCTAGAGAATGATCTTTAGAAGAGGGTAGTTGGATAGTTCCGTTAGAGGACGGCAGTATGAAAATTGAATAGAAGTTGAATATGAGCGAAGGGCCATTAATGCGACAGTACAAAGTCAAACGCACACCTTTTGCCTAATCCGTACGATGTACGCGGAGATTTGAAGTATTTATTCAAATCTACAGGCAAAAAGTGTGCGCCCGCCTTTGCTATTACTGTCTGCGGCTGTGGAATAGCTCTAGCGACGTTTCATCACTACCTAAAGCCCCACGTTGCGAGAGCATTTTCAGTCGATGGTGTGTTATAATGCAATTCTTCTTTACCCAACTATTTGTAGCTTTTGACTTTGTACTGTCGCATCGCCGTCCTCTAACGGAAGTATCCACCTACCCTCTTCTAAAGATCATTCTCTAGCTAATAAATTATCACACTAAAGCTTCATATTAGATAGCATTTCGAACCAACTCTGAAAATCGCAAACTTCGCGTATGAAGTAACATAAAAACACTTTGAATTCAATTTAATGGTTTTGATGAAACAACTATTCACTTAATACTGATTGTCTTGTCTTGAAAACGTTTGCAGCAATTAAGTTGTAGTTTTTCCAAAAATTGTTTATTTTTTAATGCATTTAAAAAACAGTTTGCATATCAACCTAAAAATTCTCGTAACTGTTCTGAAAAACTCAAGGAATTTTATTTATCAAAATGAGTGGACACCCTGTTTCACCTATTCTTTTACAATACTTTACTCGAACCGATACCCTTACCCTCTCTTACTCTCTCGGCTCTCATCACCTCTGAGGTAATCTGCCGCTCTTCGCATGTCGGTCCCATGGCAAAAATCAGCAAGCCGAGAAAATCGCATTTTTAGCTTGATTCGTACCATTGCTTCTTATGTTATGAGACAACCAATTTGGCTGTCTTTCCAAACTTTTTCAGAACAAAGTTATTGAGTTCATCCAGTATTAAGAAAATATGAGTGATCAGCTACCATTTGCATTGTAAAACTCATAGCGAATTCGTTTATTATCGGGGTTGGAACCAGTTCCAACCCAGTGCGAAACCGAACTTTTTGTCAGTGCGAACCTCAACCTGAGCTGGGTTTTAAAAACAAACGATCAAACTGACGTTTGTCAGAAAACAAGCAGACCCAATCTTGATACCCGATCCAGGTTGGAACTGAATAATAAACGAATTCGCTATCAGTTTTGACAAAAACTGCTATGGGACCGACATGCGAAGAGCGGCAATAATGGTCTGTTTTACTGCACTATCAATCATCTAAATGACATTCCCTACTGCCTACAGCAACCAGATTAACTTTCCCAAAGACGGCAACTTTATAGATGGTCAAGATCTAATGATAATGCTCATACAAAAAAAAATACACGCACATTTACACTAGCGCCACGTTGTGAAAGAATTTTGAACTAACATGTCCATCATCCAAAAGGCTTTTGTCACTGGAACGACTTTGCCGATGACAACAACATCCTAGGTGGTCAGGATCTCAAGATATACCGAATATAGTAAGTGCATATGTACACCAGCGCCGCGTAGTGAGATATTTCTGGAATAATCTGCCAACCTTCCGGGAGGCATAAGTTACTTGAACAACTTTCCCGAAGACAGCAGAGATATAGCAAATGATAGAAAATGAAGTTGTTGTTGTATTTGAGAGGCTTTACACTTTAGTGCATTCGCCTCTTACGATAGAAAATCGAATGCATACTAGCGCCACGTTGTGAGAAATTTCTGAACTGTTGTTCTCCAACCAAAAGGCCGTGACCCACTGAACAACTTTACCGAAGACAGTCACCTTCTATATGACCAGGGGTTGCATAGCGCATCTCGAAACAAAAGACATTGTGTACGAACGCTTGTATGAAAAACGTCATTTGCTGATCTGAGCTAACAAACGAGGTGGAAGCGTAGCCATCACTATCAGAGCTGTTACGAACATAGGCAAAGCGTGAAAACCAGGGTTACTTCCACTCACTTGCTATAAAAAATTGTGTTTCCGAATTATGAACACATTAGATGTGATAATGATAATTAGTACTTGTAAGTTACAAGAAGAGGTCGTGACGTATGTGTTTGACACATTACACCTGTCAAAATTGCTTTCAGTGCGTCACAATCAGCGATTTAACGATTCGTGAGCGCTCACTCAGAGTGAACGCTCGCGAATCATAAGATCGCCGATTGTGACGTTCTGAAAGTGAAATTGACAGGTTTTATGAGTCAAACACATCCTTTACACCCTTTTCTTGTTACTTACAAGTACAGCATGTCATTATATCATCTAATGATCTCATAATTTAGAAAACCATGGTTTTATAGCAAGTGAGTGGAAACCAATGTTTGGCTAATTCGTGGTGGAGGAAGTTTCCTCTACCATCGAAGATTTTTTGTAACCATAATTGGAATGCCTGATTATGGCTATTCAATATGGTAATTTAGATAATCAAATTATCAATCCAAAAGCTCTTGCATGTCACACTATTCTTAAATGTTTGTCCTCTGAGTGCCGTATGTTGTATAGCCAAATTTCAAACGAAAATCATCCTGTATTTGGATGACAATCATATGCATGTTCATCTTCTGACGACGAATTCAACCATAAGATAATCATCCGAACTTCGAATGCGTATTGTTAAAGGGCTCGAGCAATGCAATAATCATTCGAAGTATTGCGGATGTTTTGGTTCAGTGTAGACGAAATACGCGTATCTGTCAAGGATAAGCAAATAAGGTTGTGGAATTAAATGGAAATTACTAAGCCTTCTATCTCTCTTTATACAAATCCCATTGATGAATTTACGTTACGGTCGACCAACAGATAAAAATGATGTTAAAATGATAATGACGTTTTGCTACCTGTCAAATCGTATGGAATATTTTTTAGTGCATCATCAGTTTTGTAATTGCAAATCTGAAAACTAGGTGTCGCATGGCCAGTTTTACCTTTGCGTAAATTCATCAATACGCTACGTAGACTCCTAATTGATGAATCTATGATTTGACAGGTAGCAAAACGTCATTATCATATTCTCATCATTTCCATCTGCTGGTCGACCGTAACGTAAATTCATCAATTGTCCGGTTCACCCACGCTAATGGAATCACTCGAGAACAACGTTAATGGATGTATATGGGATTGGAATTATCCACTTAACAAACAATTTGTGCTGAATAAGCCTTTTTATCTGAAGAAGCATATTTTTGTATGAATATGGAGCAGGTGGAGCATAATGAGTATCCCACACTCCAGTCATAAACCTCTGATTGTTTGAAACAAATTAAATGGTCGTAGGTTCAATATCACCATTGCAATGATTAATGACCAATTATTTTGTTTCGAACCATAAGAAATCCGAGGCTACAGCACAGCAAGCTTACTATGCCCCACCTTCTCCTAAGTTCTTATTTTCCTTCCAATGTTTGTTGGGCAGTTGGTTGAAAATCATTCGAATTGTTCAATGGTTACCAAACTGCCCTCCTCTATATTAATTAATTTATTTTAATGTAATTATCAACAGGCTCTATGCAAGCGCAATGATAGTTTGCTTTAGCAAACCAGGATTAGGGCTACATAGAGTCAAACAAAAATTTAAATAAATCAAGTAAATGGCCCATCTTACCCTGCATAACTGCTGTCCATAAACCACGTAGACGGATTTAAGTGATTTTAGCCTCCCTAAACTGTCTACGTAGTTTATGAGCAGCCCCATATCCGAATGAGGCCTAACCTAATCATATGATGATCATAAGCAACAAGCTGTTTTCCCTTACCTGTATTATAGTAACTTACAGACTCTGTATCTTATCCCTGAGAAAATTACAGAATCGGTTTGCTTATTATTTGTATAATTCTAATGCATGCTCGTTAGCATCAAGTTGGAACCAGCACGCGATCTCTAACCGACATCACTCCTTCTCTCCAATCTAGCTGTCTCCGCAGCGGCGTCTGGCCATTCCTACTAGTCATCTCACTGTGCCATCTGATCCTACGCTTCCTGGATTGGTTCGTCCCGCGCAAGTACATCGATCGCTGCCCGCTGGACAACCCGTTTTGGGAGGGTACCGTTGCCAGCCGTAGCCGGCAGTCGCTGAACGATGTCCGGGTGCACGTGCATCCCATCCCCGGTGGCGAAAGTTTCGGTAAGTCTTCATCTTCGTTCAATCGGCACAAAAAGCGCCACAATAAGCAATCGTCGTCTCCCTCCTGACGACCGTTATTCGGTATGACTGGAACGATGCCGGAGGAAGGATATTGAATTTATTTATGACTAGAAGGGAATTGTGACAAGAAAATTTACAAACCGAGCTCAATCACGGTGGGAAATAAAACAAACAAACGTACAGTCTTTTCTGTGTAGTATAACGACAAATTTTATATTTTTGTATATAGATAGCTTTTAAAAATCTTTCCAAAAATCTATTAAATACGGATCAATACAAACAAAAAGCTTTCGCTGTTGGTTCTTTAATTTGCATCCGAAACTAGGTATTACTTTATTTACACGCGAGCGCTCATTCTTCTGATCCACTGAATTTACTATATTGCTTTTGGGGTTATTATTGCTCATCTCACTTGAGGGTCGGGGAAGATTTTTATTAAAAACAATTTCTCTCATTTCAAATTAGCAATAAATTACTCAACAATTAGGGTTTTCTTTTCAGCATGGTGGATGAATTTTCACAGAAGCCTTTTTCAGTTTCATAATTTCCGAAAAACTTCTGTGTCGTTCCTCCCCAGTAATAAAAAAAAACCTTCCATTCACGTTAGTCTTCGGTATTAAAAACGTTGCTTCCACGAATTAATGCTCAAAATACTAAAATATTCGATGCAATCCAACAGTATTGAATTGATTCTCTAACATTCACACACGCGCAAACTCTCCGCACCTAATTCGTAAAATATGTACAGAATAATTTCAAACAAAATGCCCTAAGCGATCTCCTCCACGTAGGTTGCGGGAAAAATGCCCACCTGGCCGCGCAGCGCTCCCAGCCACCAGCCGTCTTCCTGCTTGATGTGAATATCTAGGATGTCACCCGGTTGAAGTTCGAGTTCATCGTAAAGCTTTGGTGTGTAGTTGAACAGGGCCCGGCAGCGACCGACGATGACCGACGGTGTCCCCGACGTTGTGGTTTCGGAATTCGCACCGCTGTCTTCCACAGTGTCGCTGCTGTGACCGTTGCTGTGGCCGTTGTGGTGATGGCTGTTCTCGATTCCACTGGCAACGCTTCGATCCTCCTCCTCGTCCTGTGAGGAAAATTCGTCTGCAAAATGGGTAAGAGTTAATGGTACGGTTGACTTCAACAAGAGCTAACTGAGGACATACCAAAGTCCGAATCTGGCTGATTGGACACGCCGTCCGCGACGCCGCGATCCCAGAATGGACCGTGCTCATTAGGTGAGGTGGTCGGTTTACTGGATTTGTTCAAGTTCTGCTGGAATGAGATCAGTTAGTAGAAATGGGCATCGTGAGGCCATCCCAAATGAAACTTACACAATGATCCTCCTCCGGCCGGCCATACTTCTGTGCCATGTGCTTGATCAACGTGTCGTTCTTGATGTCAACGCAGTCGCGTTCCCCACCAATATCAGACCCGGAACCACCTCCGTTCGTACTCGAAACCTGCCCATCATCCTCGTCCTCTTCGTTCTTCAACCAGAGCGGTACTTTCAGCACACTCGTCTGCAGCCCTGTTCGATCCCGTGTTATCTACGGCGAGACCATTCAAGGAAAATGTTTACCCCTATAATTTTCTGGGAGTGCCAAGCGGCGATAAATAAAAATTATACCTGTATATGCTGCGCTAGCGGATGACTCGACCGAGGCTTGTGATCCAACTCAAACAGTGCCGACTGCAGCTTGTACCTAGCACCCTCCAAGTATGTTAGCATTGATCTTATCTGTAAGTATACACAAAAATATTCGTTCAGACAACACCGCCTTAGTAATTTGCTGGGGTAATGATCCAACTCACATGATACAACTTATCCGCAATGTTCTGATTGCCCTCTACATTCGGTTCGAAGGTTTGCGAGAATCCCTTCAGACTGTTTCTCGACCTTCGTTCCCGGTCTAGATCCTGGCGGATCAGCTGTAGCAGTTTGACCAGCGATTGCTTTCTCCTTTCCCTGTTCATTGCCAGCGTCGTGTGTTCACAGTAAAAGTCCGGCAGAAGCTGCTCGCTCGGTCCCTCCGTTGCCCGTCGGATGTTCTTCAGAACGTCCAAATCCTTCTGGACGTTGCACAACTGTACCTGAGGACCGAGCCGATCGGCCACCTTCGACAGCATCGGGTTCATGTCGGACGCCAGGCGGAAGTAACTGGAGACGTAGTTCTTGAAGTGACTTAGCCGTTGATTTTCCAGCGATTGGAGCATCGAGGAGCCCCGCAGGACGCACATCTCCCAATCGACACGAGCTCGCTCGGCCCGGATGCAGAGGGTGTAGTATTCGACGTCCGCCTTCTTGACGGCATCTTCGGCCTTCTTGCGTTTGGTGTCTAGCTTGGAGCTGTCCTTTTCGGAGGATTTGGATTCCTTGTCGATGGCTTTGTGCAGTATGCCCAGCGATGGCGAACGTTGGAGTCTGAAAATGGAGAAGAGGCCATTGGTAAGTTATTCTCGTGCAAGGATTAGTATTTGTAGGTCTTCGATATACTCTCTAATAATTTGGAAGAATTTATGATCAACCTGATATGATGAGAGAATATTCAAAGGATTTAATTTCAAATCCAAAAAAAAAATCAAGGTTGAGGGAATTGATATCTTTTGAATCGATTTTTTTGTAGAAAGCAAACTCAAATCATTTTTCAAGAGCATGAGCATGAGCATTGACGACCATACATTTCAGTAGTTGCTACTCCGTGATTGACCAGATTTAGCGACATTTGCACAAAGAACCATATGAATGGAGCTTGGGACTAGCGTACAAAATCAGGAGAATCCATATTTTTGAGGTCAATAACGGCGCCGGCCACGTCCTTACGGTCATCGGGGAGGGAAAGGATTGTTATTTCAACAACCGTTGCTGCTAGAGACCGAGTATACCTCTGCATCTCCACGGTTGTCACGGGAAGGAAGTTTTTTTAGTGGGAAGGGTAAGTTAGATCTGGATTCATAATGGGAAGTGATGCGATCTTTTAAAGCCTGTCAACTCAGTAATGTAAAGAAGTTTGGGTTTTAACCCACGATCTTCTGCTCGGTAAGCAAAAACGGTCGCTCTAAGGCCACCGTGCCCCTTACATGATGATAGATAAACTCAGTAATGTAATGAGGCTTGGGTTTACATTACCAGCAAACTTAAATCATTTTTCAAGATTCTAAATATTGAACATACTCTTTCTGAACTTTGAATGAACTCAAAGGAGATTTACGAAGATCCACTCGATTATAATAAAGAAATTATACAGATTTTTGTCAGTCAGATACAGATTAAAAAGATTGTTTACCGTGAAAATACAGATTGAAATTTGGCAAAACTGGCCAGTCTTTCCAATGAATGTGCACTAGACTGATGCAAAATTTGAAATTTTCGCTCCACAGTGCTCAAACGGTTCCAAATTGGGCCCTCATTAGCCTCCCAAAACTTGAATTCATTTAGTGAAAAACTGACTTGGCACAAACCATTTGAAGTTTATATGGAAATTACTATGGGAAAACAACACTTTTTGTTCATTGTCTTCTAGCCTTTTTACATATTGTACTTTTAACAAATTCTATTGCTATTCTTATGGGAATTTTTATCAGCTACAACTTTGCAGAAAATCGTTTTTCAGCCAAACGTCAAATTAAATAGTTATTAATTGTTTAAGAGATTAATAATTTTATGGCAAGATTAAGCAACTGTATTGTGGGCAACACTGTATTATGCAGTGTGACATAGTAGCCATGATTTTGGTCCTCTATTCTACGCGCCATAAACACCAATGTTGCCTGCTGAACAGTTGATTGAGCATAATCATAAGACATCAGTGACTTGAATCATTACTAACTTTTGTTTCTTATATTTGATCGAAAAGTGGTCTTCAACAAAGTTGTAGCTGAGAAAATTTTCTACAAGTTCAGCTATCATTTTCTAAAGTAAAGTGGGGGCGACCCCGGCGTAGTGGTTAACATCCATACCTCTCACGCCAAAGTCACGAGTTCAAATCTCACCCCCGGACAAGTCACGACCCAAGAGTGTTAAAGTGACTATAAAAAAAAAAAAAAAAAAAAAAAAAAAAAAAAAAAAAAAAAAAAAAAAAAAAAAAAAATAATATTCTAAAGTAGAGTGAACTGGTGAATGTTGAGATAGATATGAACCGAAATTATGGTTTCTCCATAGTAATTCCCATATAAACTACAAAAGGTTTGTGCCAAGTCAGTTTCTCACTAAATGAGTTCAAATTTCGGGAGGCTAATCAGGGCCCAATTTGGATCTGTTTGAGCACTGTGGAGCGAAAATTTCAAATTTTGCATCAGTCTTATGTGCACCCTGGAGCGCAGTCAGGTATATCTTCAATGTGAAAACTCTACTGTGCGAAAATTTATATATTAATTTATATTGAGTGACTTATGAGCGATCAAAGTGAAAATAAGCCAAAAAGCATTTTTTCACAAAAGTCATTTGGGACGGGACCTGTGTTGAGCAAATTAGCTAACTTTCTGCACAGAAACTACTGCGGCATACAGAAATCAGGGCTGGTAGCAGGTCACTTTTTAGTTGTTTAGTCAATATTTTCCAGTCAGTTACTAAAATTCCCTTTTTCACAAAAAAAAAGCGAGTAAAGGTCCGAACGCAATGGTAGCGGAAAAGCCCGATCTTAGTAAACCTACATGTCGGGTAGGAAAGAAGATAAAACCAAGTTGACTCTGGTTAGAGCACCCGCACCAATGCGTTGCTATTCGGGCTGCTAGTTTGACAACTTATGCCATTACTATTTTAGTTAGCAACTTATTTACGCACCGGTCGTTGCTATTACGATTGTAAATTTACGTTTTCGGCTTTCGCACCGATAGTTGCTAAACTTATCGTCGAACTTCGAACTGAAATTGATCACAGAGTTTCGTGATTGTTTTTTTTTCGACAATATTGATATACCTAACCACGAAGACTGAACATTGAAGATAAAGATCCAACTACAGACCCAGGTACTCAAGAAACGGTCCTCCGGAAAATCCGAATAGTACAGAGATTTTTTTAAATCTCTTGTTGTGATGCTACATGACTGAATTTGAATCTCGGACCAGCATGCGCACACTGGTGGTCACGAAACTGTCCTCTGGGAGCTCCGGAACATCCATAAAAGTGGTCAATTCGTAGAAATGATCGAAATATCGATCTTTGTATGCATAAAGGCATTTTCGTATGCCCATCTGGATTACTAAATATTTTCGCTTGTGAATGTATAAAGCTCGGTTGGTCGAATTTAATACGGTAGATCTGTTAACATCAGAAAAAATTGAAACCTTTAAGATTTCAAGATTTAAGTTCTGATTGATAGAAATGTGGGGAAGTTAAAAGATCTTCAAAAGTAAATTTCGACAGCGCTAGGGAAATCTAATAGATTTCAGCATAATTTACTTCAGCGAAGATCAAGAGCTTCAGGGCAGTTCCATTAAATTCAGGAAAATGAACTTTGGGTAAGTTCTGAAAACGTTAGGGCAGTTCCATGAATATCAGGAAAACTGTGAGAACTTGAGGGACGTTCCTAAAACTTTAGGTTCGTTTCTAGAACTTTATGACAGTTCCATTTATTTCAGTAAAATAGAGGAACCATCAAGAAGTTCAAAAAATTTAAGTTTCCTTAAATCTTCGGAACTTCTTTAAAAAAAAAAACTTCAGGAAATGAACTTAAAAACATTAAGAAAGCTACACAGAAGATCTATGTTTAAAGGGAAGTTTAAAGATCTTTTGGTTCTGAACAATTTCAGGAACATCATCAGGAGAACATAAGGGAAGTATCGTAAGCTTCAGGAAACAATAGAGATCTTCAGGAGAGTCTGAGGAATGAAAAAAAAGTACTGAGAATTTCAGGAAGTTTTATAGGCAAACTGCGGGAACAAAAGGGAAGTTTCGAAAATTTCTGGAAATTTTGGTGCACTTCAGGCAAATTTCAGAATTTTCAAAGTGGTTCCAAAAACTTCAGGAAACTGCAGGAACTTTTAAGAAAATTTGAGAAATTCAGGGATATCCAGCGAACTTTACAGAAGTCAAAATAATTTTAGAGATGTGGAGAGTAAACTTGAGGAAAATTGACATTTTAAAGAAATTCCAAGTACCTCAAAGAAGTTAGACTAGATGGCTTTAGGGCCTTTCAGACATGTTAACTTCATAGCTTCGTGAAATCCAAGAAATTCCAGACTTTCAGGGAAGTTCGAATATTCCGGTCAACTCCATAAACTTCAGAAAAACTTCGAGATTTTTTTTGAAAGTTCTATTTAGTTCAGGGTAATACCAAGAACTTCAATAGAAATGAGAATACTTCAGGAATGCTTCGAGAGCAGAAGGACTCATCAGAGAAACAAGAAGAGTTCAACTAATTTCAAGGAAATTGAACAATGTTTAAGAAGTTCCAAGTAACTCAGGGAATTTCCGAAACTTCATCAAAGTACCAAGACCTTTATTTAAATTTCAGAAACATAAGAGATGTTACATGAGCATCAGGAAAATGTAAGATCATTTTAAGGGAGTTCCATGGTTTTCAATGCAGTTTAAAGAACTGCAAAAAAAAAGAATGCAGGAACTTCAGCGACGATCAGATTATGTTCAAGAAAATCGCGAGATCTTTTAAAATGTTCAGAAATTTTCAAGAGCGTCTAGAGACCTTCAGAGAAGTATATAGATTTTTTGGTAGTTTCATTATATTTTGGGAAGTTCTTGGAACTTCGTAGATGATTAGAGATCTTCATATCAGTTTCATTTATTTAAGGAAAATTAAAAAAAAATGAAGGGTTGTGTCCTAGACACGACCGCAGTATGACGTAGAACCTATCTATCTATCTCTATCTATGATGCATGGTATATGCATTTAGGTTAACATCCGACGTCCCTCCTTTTTTACATATTTTGCAGGAGTAATACATCCGAAGTCCCTCCTTTTTTTACATATTCTGCATAAAGAATGCTTTCTAAGAACCACAACTGACAGGATTTCCCTCCATTTTATTGTGAATGGGGGCGAGGCAGAACGTTTCTTTTGTGCAGAATATGGAAACAAGGATGAACTTTGGATGTTAATATAATTTCATATATAGAGGTACCAGATATGTTTTACAGTCAGTTGTGTGTTATTCACCAACATAATATCATCGAATATGTCTTTCAAGCAATTCTTTTTTCTCAAATTTGAAAGTTTTGGTGCGGGAAGAAATTAAGGGAAAAACTTCTGTTTTTACTAATAATTGTGGTTTGTTTAAAATTTATTTCCCGGAAAAAAAGTGATCGTCAAAGTCCATGTCGTTTTCGGGTTATTGTTGGGGGGAGAAGTTGTTGTGAAGGGGGGGTTTAAATACATTGCTTTTCCTCATTCCCCATTGTATCGCATTCCTCATTGTAGTCACGCCGTGATCCCCCTTTAGCCGCCGCCTGCAGCAAGCAGGACCAGGTGCCACGCCGTTCGAAGCGGCAATGAGCAAAAGCACGACAGCGGCGATGTTTTATATCTTTTCAGGTTCAAGAAAAACGACGTGCAACCGAACCTGTTAGGATTTCCCGCCATTTTTTATGAATGGGGCGGAGCAAAAAGTTTCTTTTGTGCAGAATATGTAAAAAAGGATGGACTTTGGATGTTAATATAATTGCATATAAAGAGGTACCAGATATGTTTTACAGTCAGTTATTGGTAATTCATCGAGTGTATGCCTCCTGTTAAGCAATTTTTTTTGAAAATGTTGGCTCTGCATGTAAAAAAATAATTGTTTATACATAATTGTGGTTTGTTTAAAATTTATTTCCCGGAAAAAAATTATCGTCAAAGTTCATGTCTTTTTCCGGTTATGTTAAGGGGGAGGGGGTGCAACCAAGTGGTATTCGTTTATGATGACTGGGTTTGGGAAAATGTCGTGAAAACAGTGATAAAATTATCATTTGTACATTTTCAAAAGTATAATTACAGAAAAATTGGAAAAATATTTATTTCAGTGGGTTCGTAATGTAATATCCTATCGATTGGCGTATTTGGATTTTAATTTTATCTGTAAATGACAATGTTACAAGCGTTCAAAACCTAACACTCCTTCACCACACATATTTTTTGATTTGCACCCCAGTATAGTCGACAAAGACGTAGTTCTACGTCAAAAAAGTTGGTGCAGATTAACGCCAAGTTCAGTCAAAAGTTGATATTACGTTACATAAGCTATCTTGTTATGACATATCACTTATAATAGTCATTTAGTGTGATGATTGATATCATTAAGAAATAAATTGTGTAGTACGTACGCAGTAAAAGTTGTGAGTGTAAAACGCTGTCCAGACTGGAGAGTTATAACATGTTATAACGGTTGTCAAATAATTGCAACACAGAAACCACCATCAAGATAGCGCTATAACATGTTGTAACTCTGTAGTATGAACGTACTATAACATACCTATGTCACACTGCAGAATACAGTTGCCCACAAAACAGCTGCTTGATCATGACATAAGATTATCAGACTCTTAAACAATTAATAACTATTGAAATTGACGTTTGACTGAAAATCGATCTTGTGCAAAGTTGAAGCTGAGAAAGTTTCCTGTAGAACTTTTTAACAGAGCAATATGGAAAAAGGCTAAAACTCAATGGACAAATAGTTTGGTTTTCCCATAGTAATTTCCATATAAATTTCAAATGTGCAAATTGTGCCAAGTCAGTTACTCAACAAATTAGTTCAACTTTTGGGAGGCTAATCAGGATCCGGTTTGGAACCATTTGATCACTGTGGAGCGGAAATTTTAAAATTTGCATCTGTCTAATGCTCATGGGTTGTGAGAAGTGAAGCACCGAATAGTGTTATTCAGTCAGGTAATTGGCGTTTATACCGAAATGCTAACTGATATTTTTCCATTTTTCTCCGAACAAATTTTGATACTGCGATGCTTGATATTCGGCCTATGTATTCAGTCAAATATTCAATGCATCACTTGCTGTGAGTTTGTAACATTTCTCGAAGTGGGTCGCAATCAACGATAGACTGCCCAAGTAACATTTTAAGTTTTATAAAATACTACAAAGCAACTATAAAACAACATTGATAAAACCCTGGTCAAGGCTATGTTGTCTTTAATGCATCCACCAAAACCTCATTAAGACTAGAATATGTCTAGTTGGCCCACCCTGGAGAAGGTTCTGAAGGGTGTATTCTCGAAGCTCTTCAAGATTGATTTACTGCAAAAGGTTGTATGACGAACGCATTGAGAACCATTTGAAAGCTACAATAAAAGCTATTTAGCAACAATAAAAACCCTTTCCGAGCCATTTCCCCTAGCCGCATGCTGAATCCACTAGGAAAGCATCAATCAAGATAGAAAAGGATTTATGAATCCGATGTTATCAAAATTAGTAAAATACAAACTGATGGTATAAAAATCTTGTAGAACATCCAAATTTATTACAATTACAATATTTCTCATTAAGTGGCCTTGTTTTAAGTGCCATATTAAATTTTGTGTGAAATGTACGTGAAAACATCGAAAAAATTAAGTCCGCCCTCGTAAAACGTCGATTTAACTAATTATTTAACATTAAAAAAAAAATATATTCTTGGCCGAGATTTTTTTTTATTATTTTCGCATTTAAATGTTTACTAAATTTCCCAAAATATAGTTGTATCCAAGGAAATATTAATTGAAAATCGAAGATTGTAAAACAAGCAAACTAATTGTAACATGGCGGTGGCATAAAAGTTGATTTTCATGGGTCATTTGTGAAAAAGTTGTTTTGCTTTCAAGAATTCCTTAATAAATTAATAAGGTTTTAAAATGGCTTTTATGAAGATAACTTGCAGGCTGAATTGTATTTATCTAAAGCCATTTTTTTGATCCTAACCCGTTCAGATTTATGGCAGCATTTATGGAGGCAAAGTTGCCTGCAAAAAGTTAAACGTCAAAGTTTGTTTATCTTTCGATAGTTGCGCTGTGGGATCCAGGGTTTTCTTCCAGACGGTTTTCTCTCGATAGATTGGGAGCAGTTACTCAGATAGTTTGCGATACTGTTTTACAACAGTTCGCATTTTGAACAGCTGGAAGCGCAATCGTTCCCGAAAAAGATCCCCTTCTTCCGGATGGTTACAGAAGTGCACCATCCAACGATGCAGGGATGTACACTTGAATGAAATTTTCGAAGAGTTGATTCTTTCGCCGAATAAAGTTGCTGCTATGGATCGGAAACCAGCTAATCTCCGCTAACTAACAGTTTCAGTGGTTTGCTGTAGGTTGTTATTTCGATTGTCATCTATTCGCAAGATCTGGAGAAGGCTGGTATGTTTTTCAACTGTCGATAATGTTTTATGAATTCGAGGGCCACGCTCACTTTACTCTTCTCCGCCAGATGGTCAGTCATTGATGGTGTGCTGGTTCTTTTAAAGAGGTAAATTTTGCTGAAATCGACTTGAATGTTTCATCCTACCGTCTATCCTTCGAGATTTCCTTGTCATAAATTTGGCATTTATTAACTATGAGGAACCATCTTTTAAGCTCAATCTGTAAACAGAGTAATTGTGGGGTTAATGATGCACTTTAAAAAGCCTAAAAAGCAACAATAAATGCTTTTTGCTCTAATGCAAAACCTAATGGTTTTATGGTTGCATTTATAATGATAGAACACGTTTATAAAGTATTTCATCAAGACATTAATAAACAATTGCTAATGACGTTTATGCTTGAATTACAGAACAGTTTTAAGGAGGGATTGAAAACTGTTTTAAATTTATTTTTAAAACAATACAGTTTTTGACTTTCTTGCCAGACTATAAAAGGTTTTTTAAACAGCAAAAAGCTAAATTACTAAACAGGAATGTTTTACACTTAGAAATGCTATATTCAAACTAAATGGATTGTTCATTGCCGTTATAAAACCATCATAAATCAGAGTGGATGCCAAATGGTTACTGAATTGTTACTTGGGTGGAACCATATCTTTTTGATCAATAACTGTCACTTTCTTATTCTTATTTTAGACACTATGGTCACTACTATTATATCACATACCTACTACCAGCCCTGAGAAATTCGAGAACATTGCTGAAAATGGGACAGCCTAGTGTCCACGTTGACGTTGTATTGAACCCCTTCCCGTGGACACGCGAGGACTTTTCCATACCCCTCTCCCCTAAGTTCCCCCGGTGGTATATGAACGGCTCTCATGCAATGATCACCATAATTAGAGTTCACGGCTCCTGTTAACGAATTTAGGAACGGTTTTTAATCCCTGTCGTTATCCTCTATAGAATAGAGGGATCCTCCTCAAAATGGATTACATATCTGATAGTTGTAAATTTCCTTAGCACATTATAAATGGTATGAATACTCACTTCACATCCAGCATCGCATCCTGCAGCTTCTCGTTTTCCCGAGCTGCAGCATGCGAGCCCTTCTTGGCCTTCAGCTCGGCAGCCCTCCACTCGGCCAGTATCCTCGCCGATTTGTCCACACTGTTCTCGATCGCCTTCCGGGCCTTGTGCTGGTTCTCCAGGACGCTCTTGAGTGGCTTGACCAACTCGTCGGCCAGCGAGTTGGAAAACTGCCGGTGGATCTCCCCTCGGCTTTCGATCTCCGTGGAAACCGCTCGCCACGATTCGGCGATCGTACCCGGCAAATCGCGGCACGCTTTGTTCAGCTTGCTGGCTATCTTCGACAGTGATTTCGCATAGATCTGTTCGATCTCCGTACGCTCCTGCAGGATTGCGATGAGATCCTTGCCAAAATCGCCGCCCTGTTTGACGAACCGGCGGATCTCTTCGAAGCCATTCTGGCCCTAAAAAAGGAGAAGGAAAAGAAAAAGGGAAAATTGCATAAGAAAATTGCACCCACTTATGTGTAACCGTTGTCACGATGGTTGGTTGCCGACGCCGCCCCTGGACTTCATCGTTATCACGTTCGCCATGGATAAATATATATTTCTTTTTTCCAACGACGTGCCTATGCCACTTGGCACCCGCAAGTCAAGTTCAATAACATCGGGAACCAGTCAGTTGTAGCAAAAACAAAACCCTCAATCGGATGTCTCATATTTCAATCTTAATATGCTACTGCTGCTGCCTACCTTAACCGGGACACACCTTGTATGCCATCAACTATTGTGTGTTTGCATGTTGACTTTGAACATCTCTCTTAAGGGGCGCGATTGTAATGTGAATGGGCTTGGGCTTGCGTAAAAGAATGAATGGGGAAAGATGATCATCGTCGTCATGGAAGCAAAAGCAAGAGTGCTCATTTCATGCTTACTGTATACAGACCGGTTGATGTTGTGGTTGTTGTCGTTGAACCGAACTAATAATGCTTGAGTGACAATCACTAATTTGCAGTTCGTTGAAACAGCTATCGAAGCTGCCCGCGATTATTACGGTTATTATTGGAATTTCTTCACCAGGGGCGATGCAATGGAGGTAGCATAGCTTTGGTTAATTCACTGCCGTGGGTGGTTCCGTGTGCTTTTGCTCAATTATCGCATTTGCAACACATGTCGGTAATAAGCACTTCTGTTTGAGGTGTGGAAGAAGGTATGTAACACGAGTCGATGAATCTATTTGTGCACATTCCTTCTTTTTCAGGCATTTGATTCTCAGAGATTGATGTGTAGGAAGAGTCAAAACTCTACCAGGAATACCGGGAAATTCGGGAAGGAGTGGGGAATTTTAAAAATAAACCGGGAAAACGATTTTGCATTGGACAGAATTTTCAAACCTACTACAGTCAACTCTTCACAACTCGATGTCCACTAACTCGATATCGAGTTATAGAACCATAGTAAAAAATATTCCATGGCTACTGTGATAGCGATTTTGTGTGGGATTGTTATTCTATAACCCGATAGTCCCTTCAATATTAAGTTGTAGAGAGTTCACTTTACATTAATCAACCTAAATAGGTACTGTATTATCCCTTCCAGAAAGTAAAGCTTAATTAATTTAAATGTAAACAACATTATGAACTTTCCATCGCTCATCAGGTTCCTCTAGGTCTCATAAATTGATTATTTTATCACCGACAATCCTCAGATATAGACTCAATAAAACAAGATAAATAATACCAAACCAGCAGCGCCAAAGCATCACTGACTGCAATTGAAAGTGATTCGATTATTTCCTTTTTCCGCAGATTGCAACTTAACTAGTTTTTGCCTCATCGTGTTTGAGTGCGCTCAAACTCACTCGTGCTTGTCCGCCCGGGGGCCACATGCGCTACCCGTGTTTGATGTTGTTTAAAAACACAATCGGACACAATTTTCCTCGCACTAACAGATTTTCCCGTTTTACCTGTTGTCGTATGCATTTACAGCAAATCCATCTTCTGCGTCTTTCGGTCGATTATTGATTTTTTCTTCCTTTCCGATTGACCACCTTACCCGTTTAATGAGACATCTGAAGTGAAACCGGTCGTATCAACCGCGCGCCCGGCCCGTATTAGAGTCATCATTATCAACGGTCTGAGGAGCTCAGGAAGCTCGGGATTGGCTTTTCATCTGAACCTTTCTAAATGGATATAATAAATTTCATTACATATTAGTTGTCCCCTCATCGGTCGCTGGCTTTCAATCGCCATAACCGTTTATAATCGTTTTTCCTGCTGACCAACTTGTCATCGGGCCACAGGCCCCGGAGTGGTTCCAAACCATCAATCGTCACTGTAAATTGATTTTTGGACTTCCTGCCGTTTCTAAGTGATTTGTTATGTTTTCCACAATTAGTTACGTCGTAGATCATAACTTCGCCACTGCAGGAGGACAATTTTGCTGCACCGCAACTCTGATAGATAAGTTCAGCTCTATCAATCATTTCCTTCACTGGAGGCGCTTGCATATAGGAATGTTTCCAAACGAAAGGCGGCAATGATTATCAATCTACTTATGCCGCCTTCGACGCCAACCTGCATCGAAAGCGTCCATTTTCTAATCGTTAGGGATTGGAAGGTGGGCTTTCTTAGAAGAAGCATTATGTTAGCAGCGTATATATTCGACATACGATGGTGATTGTTAATGAGTTTTGACTGGAAAGCGAAAGTGATCGCTTCGGAAGGCAGTTTAATGATTCAATTTTTATAATGATTTTGTAAGACTTCACATTGGAAAAAAATAAAAAATTAACTTCGCACGGACACTTTTTTGGGAACATGCCGATCAATTCTATAGAGGAAGACGGATATAACTCGTGAATCAAAATAATTGTTTATACAAAAAGTTCAAAAATGTGTTCAAAAGTAACAGCTTCTATGGTTTTTGTTAATATTTACATCATGTAATGTATGATGTACATCATGAAACTCCCCTAAGAATTTCTTTGGAATCCTTTTGAAAATATTCTCAAAATTTAAATCAAAACTCTCCTCGGGAATCCTAGTGCAGGTAGGACTCGATTCTCCGGGGGTTTGATTATCCGGAGAAAATTACTCTATTATCCGGAGCAATATTTTTGTTATAGCATTGGATTTGAGTAAGTAAAACAAGAAGCGTAGGGTAAATGGAACAACCATTGATGCATTTTAACTATTTTGAGCCAATTTGTGCTTGGTGGAGAAATACAAAGTGATGCAGAAATCACTAGCGTGCACAAGAATCTTTTTAAGGAGGGGAAATTTTTTTCTATGCTGCATTCAATCTGGGGATGGGGAGTACTCCAAAGTGCGTGACAGCCAATGGAATGGATCGTAGTTAGCCACCAACTGGGTGGCACACTTTCCGCTCCTTCCGAATGTCCACGAAGTGGTCGGCCACCTTTGCTAAGTATGCGCACAATATCGATTAAATGTTCCATTATATAGCGATTTTGTAGCCGCTTTGCCTCACCTAGCAGCAATCATACCTCTTTTTTTGGTGGTCCAATTCTTCGTCGATACCCTTCCTGATTTTGAAATTCTTCCTCGCGTCCAAACTATCAACATGGGTATCACTGCGATTGTGTTTGCCCAGCAACTCGGTCGCTTTCTTCCAATTTCCGAACCCTGTAGCAATCGCTGTAATAATGTTTTGCGTCATGCTCTTTTTTGCAGGTTAAAAATATGAACCAAAGAAAATATATTCTTCAAGGTACTGGTATCATCTTTTATTCAGTTACCTTTCTGAAATGTTGTGCATTACGTTTTTGTATATTTTGAAGGCATCGTTACAGTTATTTTTGAGTATTTCAAGGTTTTGTTTGCCCTTATATGCTGTTGTAGTTACACTTTACTATTACCGTTGCGAGTACGTAGAAATTGGTCATTTTCAGCGAAAGTTGTAGCTCTACTTTTTTTTAAATTTTGACCTAAATTCCAAGGCTTTAGGTTTAGGATCATTAAAAAGGTTTAAAAAATATGTAACGATTGGAACAAAAGCGAGTACATGATTGTTAACGGAATTACGACTTGTGCATGTCAACCCTGCCCCAAGTACCGCCAGTCGGGGTGACACGAAATGATGCCGAACATTCAACATGTTTTAAAGATGATACAAAGGAAAATTCCGCATTTATTGCAACGCACATAAACAGCTGTAACTTTTTAACCACGGTAACAAATGACTTGAAATTTTCAGAGAAGATTCTAAGACGAATTCTTAGTAAGACAACAACAGACCAAGGTTCAATGGCAAACTAATACCCACTTTTCAATTAGGGAATCCAAGAGCTGTCTTTAAAATTTATACAGTTGCGAAAAAGTCCATCCTCAGAATTTCTTGAGGGTCTTTTCGAAATTTTTAGAACTCTATGAGCTCTATTGAAATTCTTCTCAGATGTCCTCTGGAATTATTTTTAGAATGCTTCTTGCCTTTTACTCTGAACACGTTGGAACTGAAATTCCCTTAGAGTTTCAGAAGAATTTCCTCAGTATTATCCAGAAATTATTCCCGGAATGAGCTAGAAATTATCGGTACTCACTAGAAATTTTCCTCAAAATCCCTTTGGAATTTCACTCAAAATTTGATTTTCTCGGTATTCTTTTCAAAATTATCTTGGAACTATCTGCAAGATTCACTAAAAATTAATTATCAAAATTTTCTTGGAATACTCCCCAGAAATATTTTAGAACTGTTCTAAGAATTCTATATCCTTGAGGTTCTTCTCGGAATATTTTGAACTTTTTTTCTCTCAGAACACCTTGGAACTGAAATTTCCCTAAAGTTTCAGAAGAATTTCCTCTGTATTCTCCAGAAATTCTTCCCAGAATGAGCTTGAAATTTTCCTCAACATCCCTTTGGAATTTCACTCAAAATTTAATTTTCTCGGTATTCTTTTCGGAATTATCTTGGAACTATCTGCAGGATTCACTAGAAATTATTCGCAGAATATTCATGGAATTATCCCCAAAAATCTTTTCTTTTGGAACAGTCCTCAGAAGTTTAAGTTGCCCGTCCATTCACCAAAACGTGGTATTTTTTTTTTCAACCAGAAATGTTCAATAAAGCTTGCCCCTACATTCACCAGAACTGTGCAATTTTTACATCAGGAATTTTCAATTCAGCTTGCCCCTCCATGCAGCAGATTGTTGCAAATATTACTTGCCCTCAGGTAATTTTAGACCAGAAAATTTAAATTGACCAGAAGGATGTAAATTTTCCACCGTTAATAAAAATTGCTTCTCCAATCTTCTGATTCGTGCAGATTTCCTTTTTCCATTCTCTACCAGACAATTTCAATATAGCAGGCTTCTCCCATCATCAGAATGTTGCAGGTTTTCCTTATTTTCGGATTTTTCATCATACATTTTCAGTAAAGCAGCTTCCATCCAATCATCCGAATGGTGCAAATTTTAAACCAGAAATTATTATTAAAATTTGTTTCT